CCCCCCCCCCCCCCCCCCCCCCCCCCCCCCCCCCCCCCCCCCCCCCCCCCCCCCCCCCCCCCCCCCCCCCCCCCCCCCCCCCCCCCCCCCCCCCCCCCCCCCCCCCCCCCCCCCCCCCCCCCCCCCCCCCCCCCCCCCCCCCCCCCCCCCCCCCCCCCCCCCCCCCCCCCCCCCCCCCCCCCCCCCCCCCCCCCCCCCCCCCCCCCCCCCCCCCCCCCCCCCCCCCCCCCCCCCCCCCCCCCCCCCCCCCCCCCCCCCCCCCCCCCCCCCCCCCCCCCCCCCCCCCCCCCCCCCCCCCCCCCCCCCCCCCCCCCCCCCCCCCCCCCCCCCCCCCGCCCCCCCCCCCCCCCCCCCCCCCCCCCCCCCCCCCCCCCCCCCCCCCCCCCCCCCCCCCCCCCCCCCCCCCCCCCCCCCCCCCCCCCCCCCCCCCCCCCCCCCCCCCCCCCCCCCCCCCCCCCCCCCCCCCCCCCCCCCCCCCCCCCCCCCCCCCCCCCCCCCCCCCCCCCCCCCCCCCCCCCCCCCCCCCCCCCCCCCCCCCCCCCCCCCCCCCGCCCCCCCCCCCCCCCCCCCCCCCCCCCCCCCCCCCCCCCCCCCCCCCCCCCCCCCCCCCCCCCCCCCCCCCCCCCCCCCCCCCCCCCCCCCCCCCCCCCCCCCCCCCCCCCCCCCCCCCCCCCCCCCCCCCCCCCCCCCCCCCCCCCCCCCCCCCCCCCCCCCCCCCCCCCCCCCCCCCCCCCCCCCCCCCCCCCCCCCCCCCCCCCCCCCCCCCCCCCCCCCCCCCCCCCCCCCCCCCCCCCCCCCCCCCCCCCCCCCCCCCCCCCCCCCCCCCCCCCCCCCCCCCCCCCCCCCCCCCCCCCCCCCCCGCCCCCCCCCCCCCCCCCCCCCCCCCCCCCCCCCCCCCCCCCCCCCCCCCCCCCCCCCCCCCCCCCCCCCCCCCCCCCCCCCCCCCCCCCCCCCCCCCCCCCCCCCCCCCCCCCCCCCCCCCCCCCCCCCCCCCCCCCCCCCCCCCCCCCCCCCCCCCCCCCCCCCCCCCCCCCCCCCCCCCCCCCCCCCCCCCCCCCCCCCCCCCCCCCCCCCCCCCCCCCCCCCCCCCCCCCCCCCCCCCCCCCCCCCCCCCCCCCCCCCCCCCCCCCCCCCCGCCCCCCCCCCCCCCCCCCCCCCCCCCCCCCCCCCCCCCCCCCCCCCCCCCCCCCCCCCCCCCCCCCCCCCCCCCCCCCCCCCCCCCCCCCCCCCCCCCCCCCCCCCCCCCCCCCCCCCCCCCCCCCCCCCCCCCCCCCCCCCCCCCCCCCCCCCCCCCCCCCCCCCCCCCCCCCCCCCCCCCCCCCCCCCCCCCCCCCCCCCCCCCCCCCCCCCCCCCCCCCCCCCCCCCCCCCCCCCCCCCCCCCCCCCCCCCCCCCCCCCCCCCCCCCCCCCCCCCCCCCCCCCCCCCCCCCCCCCCCCCCCCCCCCCCCCCCCCCCCCCCCCCCCCCCCCCCCCCCCCCCCCCCCCCCCCCCCCCCCCCCCCCCCCCCCCCCCCCCCCCCCCCCCCCCCCCCCCCCCCCCCCCCCCCCCCCCCCCCCCCCCCCCCCCCCCCCCCCCCCCCCCCCCCCCCCCCCCCCCCCCCCCCCCCCCCCCCCCCCCCCCCCCCCCCCCCCCCCCCCCCCCCCCCCCCCCCCCCCCCCCCCCCCCCCCCCCCCCCCCCCCCCCCCCCCCCCCCCCCCCCCCCCCCCCCCCCCCCCCCCCCCCCCCCCCCCCCCCCCCCCCCCCCCCCCCCCCCCCCCCCCCCCCCCCCCCCCCCCCCCCCCCCGCCCCCCCCCCCCCCCCCCCCCCCCCCCCCCCCCCCCCCCCCCCCCCCCCCCCCCCCCCCCCCCCCCCCCCCCGCCCCCCCCCCCCCCCCCCCCCCCCCCCCCCCCCCCCCCCCCCCCCCCCCCCCCCCCCCCCCCCCCCCCCCCCCCCCCCCCCCCCCCCCCCCCCCCCCCCCCCCCCCCCCCCCCCCCCCCCCCCCCCCCCCCCCCCCCCCCCCCCCCCCCCCCGCCCCCCCCCCCCCCCCCCCCCCCCCCCCCCCCCCCCCCCCCCCCCCCCCCCCCCCCCCCCCCCCCCCCCCCCCCCCCCCCCCCCCCCCCCCCCCCCCCCCCCCCCCCCCCCCCCCCCCCCCCCCCCCCCCCCCCCCCCCCCCCCCCCCCCCCCCCCCCCCCCCCCCCCCCCCCCCCCCCCCCCCCCCCCCCCCCCCCCCCCCCCCCCCCCCCCCCCCCCCCCCCCCCCCCCCCCCCCCCCCCCCCCCCCCCCCCCCCCCCCCCCCCCCCCCCCCCCCCCCCCCCCCCCCCCCCCCCCCCCCCCCCCCCCCCCCCCCCCCCCCCCCCCCCCCCCCCCCCCCCCCCCCCCCCCCCCCCCCCCCCCCCCCCCCCCCCCCCCCCCCCCCCCCCCCCCCCCCCCCCCCCCCCCCCCCCCCCCCCCCCCCCCCCCCCCCCCCCCCCCCCCCCCCCCCCCCCCCCCCCCCCCCCCCCCCCCCCCCCCCCCCCCCCCCCCCCCCCCCCCCCCCCCCCCCCCCCCCCCCCCCCCCCCCCCCCCCCCCCCCCCCCCCCCCCCCCCCCCCCCCCCCCCCCCCCCCCCCCCCCCCCCCCCCCCCCCCCCCCCCCCCCCCCCCCCCCCCCCCCCCCCCCCCCCCCCCGCCCCCCCCCCCCCCCCCCCCCCCCCCCCCCCCCCCCCCCCCCCCCCCCCCCCCCCCCCCCCCCCCCCCCCCCCCCCCCCCCCCCCCCCCCCCCCCCCCCCCCCCCCCCCCCCCCCCCCCCCCCCCCCCCCCCCCCCCCCCCCCCCCCCCCCCCCCCCCCCCCCCCCCCCCCCCCCCCCCCCCCCCCCCCCCCCCCCCCCCCCCCCCCCCCCCCCCCCCCCCCCCCCCCCCCCCCCCCCCCCCCCCCCCCCCCCCCCCCCCCCCCCCCCCCCCCCCCCCCCCCCCCCCCCCCCCCCCCCCCCCCCCCCCCCCCCCCCCCCCCCCCCCCCCCCCCCCCCCCCCCCCCCCCCCCCCCCCCCCCCCCCCCCCCCCCCCCCCCCCCCCCCCCCCCCCCCCCCCCCCCCCCGCCCCCCCCCCCCCCCCCCCCCCCCCCCCCCCCCCCCCCCCCCCCCCCCCCCCCCCCCCCCCCCCCCCCCCCCCCCCCCCCCCCCCCCCCCCCCCCCCCCCCCCCCCCCCCCCCCCCCCCCCCCCCCCCCCCCCCCCCCCCCCCCCCCCCCCCCCCCCCCCCCCCCCCCCCCCCCCCCCCCCCCCCCCCCCCCCCCCCCCCCCCCCCCCCCCCCCCCCCCCCCCCCCCCCCCCCCCCCCCCCCCCCCCCCCCCCCCCCCCCCCCCCCCCCCCCCCCCCCCCCCCCCCCCCCCCCCCCCCCCCCCCCCCCCCCCCCCCCCCCCCCCCCCCCCCGCCCCCCCCCCCCCCCCCCCCCCCCCCCCCCCCCCCCCCCCCCCCCCCCCCCCCCCCCCCCCCCCCCCCCCCCCCCCCCCCCCCCCCCCCCCCCCCCCCCCCCCCCCCCCCCCCCCCCCCCCCCCCCCCCCCCCCCCCCCCCCCCCCCCCCCCCCCCCCCCCGCCCCCCCCCCCCCCCCCCCCCCCCCCCCCCCCCCCCCCCCCCCCCCCCCCCCCCCCCCCCCCCCCCCCCCCCCCCCCCCCCCCCCCCCCCCCCCCCGCCCCCCCCCCCCCCCCCCCCCCCCCCCCCCCCCCCCCCCCCCCCCCCCCCCCCCCCCCCCCCCCCCCCCCCCCCCCCCCCCCCCCCCCCCCCCCCCCCCCCCCCCCCCCCCCCCCCCCCCCCCCCCCCCCCCCCCCCCCCCCCCCCCCCCCCCCCCCCCCCCCCCCCCCCCCCCCCCCCCCCCCCCCCCCCCCCCCCCCCCCCCCCCCCCCCCCCCCCCCCCCCCCCCCCCCCCCCCCCCCCCCCCGCCCCCCCCCCCCCCCCCCCCCCCCCCCCCCCCCCCCCCCCCCCCCCCCCCCCCCCCCCCCCCCCCCCCCCCCCCCCCCCCCCCCCCCCCCCCCCCCCGCCCCCCCCCCCCCCCCCCCCCCCCCCCCCCCCCCCCCCCCCCCCCCCCCCCCCCCGCCCCCCCCCCCCCCCCCCCCCCCCCCCCCCCCCCCCCCCCCCCCCCCCCCCCCCCCCCCCCCCCCCCCCCCCCCCCCCCCCCCCCCCCCCCCCCCCCCCCCCCCCCCCCCCCCCCCCCCCCCCCCCCCCCCCCCCCCCCCCCCCCCCCCCCCCCCCCCCCCCCCCCCCCCCCCCCCCCCCCCCCCCCCCCCCCCCCCCCCCCCCCCCCCCCCCCCCCCCCCCCCCCCCCCCCCCCCCCCCCCCCCCCCCCCCCCCCCCCCCCCCCCCCCCGCCCCCCCCCCCCCCCCCCCCCCCCCCCCCCCCCCCCCCCCCCCCCCCCCCCCCCCCCCCCCCCCCCCCCCCCCCCCCCCCCCCCCCCCCCCCCCCCCCCCCCCCCCCCCCCCCCCCCCCCCCCCCCCCCCCCCCCCCCCCCCCGCCCCCCCCCCCCCCCCCCCCCCCCCCCCCCCCCCCCCCCCCCCCCCCCCCCCCCCCCCCCCCCCCCCCCCCCCCCCCCCCCCCCCCCCCCCCCGCCCCCCCCCCCCCCCCCCCCCCCCCCCCCCCCCCCCCCCCCCCCCCCCCCCCCCCCCCCCCCCCCCCCCCCCCCCCCCCCCCCCCCCCCCCCCCCCCCCCCCCCCCCCCCCCCCCCCCCCCCCCCCCCCCCCCCCCCCCCGCCCCCCCCCCCCCCCCCCCCCCCCCCCCCCCCCCCCCCCCCCCCCCCCCCCCCCCCCCCCCCCCCCCCCCCCGCCCCCCCCCCCCCCCCCCCCCCCCCCCCCCCCCCCCCCCCCCCCCCCCCCCCCCCCCCCCCCCCCCCCCCCCCCCCCCCCCCCCCCCCCCCCCCCCCCCCCCCCCCCCCCCCCCCCCCCCCCCCCCCCCCCCCCCCCCCCCCCCCCCCCCCCCCCCCCCCCCCCCCCCCCCCCCCCCCCCCCCCCCCCCCCCCCCCCCCCCCCCCCCCCCCCCCCCCCCCCCCCCCCCCCCCACCCCCCCCCCCCCCCCCCCCCCCCCCCCCCCCCCCCCCCCCCCCCCCCCCCCCCCCCCCCCCCCCCCCCCCCCCCCCCCCCCCCCCCCCCCCCCCCCGCCCCCCCCCCCCCCCCCCCCCCCCCCCCCCCCCCCCCCCCCCCCCCCCCCCCCCCCCCCCCCCCCCCCCCCCCCCCCCCCCCCCCCCCCCCCCCCCCCCCCCCCCCCCCCGCCCCCCCCCCCCCCCCCCCCCCCCCCCCCCCCCCCCCCCCCCCCCCCCCCCCCCCCCCCCCCCCCCCCCCCCCCCCCCCCCCCCCCCCCCCCCCCCCCCCCCCCCCCCCCCCCCCCCCCCCCCCCCCCCCCCCCCCCCCCCCCCCCCCCCCCCCCCCCCCCCCCCCCCCCCCCCCCCCCCCCCCCCCCCCCCCCCCCCCCCCCCCCCCCCCCCCCCCCCCCCCCCCCCCCCCCCCCCCCCCCCCCCCCGCCCCCCCCCCCCCCCCCCCCCCCCCCCCCCCCCCCCCCCCCCCCCCCCCCCCCCCCCCCCCCCCCCCCCCCCCCCCCCCCCCCCCCCCCCCCCCCCCCCCCCCCCCCCCCCCCCCCCCCCCCCCCCCCCCCCCCCCCCCCCCCCCCCCCCCCCCCCCCCCCCCCCCCCCCCCCCCCCCCCCCCCCCCCCCCCCCCCCCCCCCCCCCCCCCCCCCCCCCCCCCCCCCGCCCCCCCCCCCCCCCCCCCCCCCCCCCCCCCCCCCCCCCCGCCCCCCCCCCCCCCCCCCCCCCCCCCCCCCCCCCCCCCCCCCCCCCCCCCCCCCCCCCCCCCCCCCCCCCCCCCCCCCCCCCCCCCCCCCCCCCCCCCCCCCCCCCCCCCCCCCCCCCCCCCCCCCCCCCCCCCCCGCCCCCCCCCCCCCCCCCCCCCCCCCCCCCCCCCCCCCCCCCCCCCCCCCCCCCCCCCCCCCCCCCCCCCCCCCCCCCCCCCCCCCCCCCCCCCCCCCCCCCCCCCCCCCCCCCCCCCCCCCCCCCCCCCCCCCCCCCCCCCCCCCGCCCCCCCCCCCCCCCCCCCCCCCCCCCCCCCCCCCCCCCCCCCCCCCCCCCCCCCCCCCCCCCCCCCCCCCCCCCCCCCCCCCCCCCCCCCCCCCCCCCCCCCCCCCCCCCCCCCCCCCCCCCCCCCCCCCCCCCCCCCCCCCCCCCCCCCCCCCCCCCCCCCCCCCCCCCCCCCCCCCCCCCCCCCCCCCCCCCCCCCCCCCCCCCCCCCCCCCCCCCCCCCCCCCCCCCCCCCCCCCCCCCCCCCCCCCCCCCCCCCCCCCCCCCCCCCCCCCCCCCCCCCCCCCCCCCCCCCCCCCCCCCGCCCCCCCCCCCCCCCCCCCCCCCCCCCCCCCCCCCCCCCCCCCCCCCCCCCCCCCCCGCCCCCCCCCCCCCCCCCCCCCCCCCCCCCCCCCCCCCCCCCCCCCCCCCCCCCCCCCCCCCCCCCCCCGCCCCCCCCCCCCCCCCCCCCCCCCCCCCCCCCCCCCCCCCCCCCCCCCCCCCCCCCCCCCCCCCCCCCCCCCCCCCCCCCCCCCCCCCCCCCCCCCCCCCCCCCCCCCCCCCCCCCCCCCCCCCCCCCCCCCCCCCCCCCCCCCCCCCCCCCCCCCCCCCCCCCCCCCCCCCCCCCCCCCCCCCCCCCCCCCCCCCCCCCCCCCCCCCCCCCCCCCCCCCCCCCCCCCCCCCCCCCCCCCCCCCCCCCCCCCCCCCCCCCCCCCCCCCCCCCCCCCCCCCCCCCCCCCCCGCCCCCCCCCCCCCCCCCCCCCCCCCCCCCCCCCCCCCCCCCCCCCCCCCCCCCCCCCCCCCCCCCCCGCCCCCCCCCCCCCCCCCCCCCCCCCCCCCCCCCCCCCCCCCCCCCCCCCCCCCCCCCCCCCCCCCCCCCCCCCCCCCCCCCCCCCCCCCCCCCCCCCCCCCCCCCCCCCCCCCCCCCCCCCCCCCCCCCCCCCCCCCCCCCCCCCCCCCCCCCCCCCCCCCCCCCCCCCCCCCCGCCCCCCCCCCCCCCCCCCCCCCCCCCCCCCCCCCCCCCCCCCCCCCCCCCCCCCCCCCCCCTCCCCCCCCCCCCCCACCCCCCCCCCCCCCCCCCCCCCCCCCCCCCCCCCCCCCCCCCCCCCCCCCCCCCCCCCCCCCCCCCCCCCCCCCCCCCCCCCCCCCCCCCCCCCCCCCCCCCCCCCCCCCCCCCCCCCCCCCCCCCCCCGCCCCCCCCCCCCCCCCCCCCCCCCCCCCCCCCCCCCCCCCCCCCACCCCCCCCCCCCCCCCCCCCCCCCCCCCCCCCCCCCCCCCCCCCCCCCCACCCCCCCCCCCCCCCCCCCCTCCCCCCCCCCCCCCCCCCCCCCCCCCACCCCACCCCCCCCCCCCCCCCCACCCCCCCCCCCCCCCCCCCCCCCCCCCCCCCCCCCCCCCCCACCCCCCCCCCCCCCCCCCCCCCCCCCCCCCCCCCCCCCCCCCACCCCCCCCCCCACACCCCCCACCCCCCCCCCCCCCCCCCCCCCCCCCCCCCCCCCCCACCCCCCCCCCCCCCCCCCCCCCCCCCCCCCCCCCCCCCCCGCCCCCCCCCCCCCCCCCCCCCCCCCCCCCCCCCCCCAACCCCCACACCCCCCCCCCCCCCCCCCCCCCCCCCCCCCCCCCCCCCCCCCCCCCCCCCCCCCCCCCCCCCCCCCCCGCCCCCCCCCCCCCCCCCCCCCCCCCCCCCCCCCCCCCCCCCCCCCCCCCCCCCCCCCCCCCCCCCCCCCCCCCCCCCCCCCCCCCCCCCCCCCCCCCCCCCCCCCCCCGCCCCCCCCCCCCCCCCCCCCCCCCCTGG